TTCGTTAGATCAAAATGAGTTGTAGTAAAAAAAAATAAATTGTATGTCAAGGGAGATATAACTCTATGGTTTTTAACTCATGCAACTAACTTATAATGCAGCTATTTGTACACGTGTTTGGAATTTAAATCTTTCATTCACTTCCTTTATTTCTCTTTTGTTGAAAAACATAAAATACAGAGATATTTCTGCTTTTAAAACCTGCCACATCTATCAGAACGTGATAGAAGGAGAGCGTTAGTAATGCCCCAGGTTGGAAATACACATCGAAATGGGGCTCAAAGGCCTAACGTCCACACAAAGAGCATTGGGCAGTTGTGCACTCGTGTCGGCTGTCTAGAACGACACATTTTTAATGAAAGACCTAAAAGTGGCAGGCCTTAGATCATAATGCAGAGACAAGACCGAAACATCCACCGAGTTCATCTCAAGAACAGATTGTGTTCTGTATCACTGCAGCACGTAATGTTCCTAGGTAAAGACCAAAAAGGCATTAAAAAATAATCTTGTTAGTTCCGGTATTCTCTCAGTACAGACCGATCTCTCTGCCAAGGGTTTGGCTATTATTTCTTTCTTTCTAAGCACCTGGAGCATTGGGCAGGCATGCAGCAACTGGTTCCCTGTTTGAACGCCAGTTCCTCACTGACACAGCTCTGAATTTCCGTTCTTGAATTTCGTGTTGAGGTGGTGTTTCAGTCGGTTATGTTCTGTTCCAAGTTGTTTTTTTTTTTGGGGGGGGTTATTGTTGTTGTATTTCTTTAAAGGCGCTTACAGCTACAGGAAGGCATCATTTTTATGAGCTCGCAGGACACATTAAACATTTTTAGTTTAGTGGAATGAGTTTTAAAATTTTCACGGCAGCGGCCGAAGCTTACTGTAATCGATTTTGGACCATCAAGGGCTCTTTTACGTGCGCAGCTTGCACACGAGACCTCCGAGATTTTTCGCCCTTATCCGAGATTGGGCTAGGCGTTATATCTTACCTACCCTAAGATCAGGGGTATGGCTGAAAGACAGCAGTAAGCAGGAGCCAAGGAGCAGCAGTAAAAAGGCTGCAGAAAGAGTCAGGAGCCCCGAGGAGGGGGGGCGGGGGGCGGGACAGAGCAGAAACTGGAGGCAAAAGCAGGCGATAGAACATGGTTAGAGAACGAGAAAGGAGGTGAAGGGAGAAAATTTCAGAGAAGAAATTTTTTCGTCGCTGTCAGCTTACGATCCCGGGACCTGTTGAATGTGAGGCCAACACCGTAACCTCCAGACCACGAAAGCCCCCGTTCTAAGTATGAACAGAACAACATGCTGTTGACGGGTGAGGAGGTAAAAGGAGTCACCCTGGTTGTAGTATGGGTGTTCTTTCCACTTTGCGTCTAACCCCCTTTTGATAATGATAAGACATTAATATTAAGAAAGACGTCGTGGATGCTCACGCGTGGGTAGTTGGAAAGTACCACTGGTGGGTTCTACTTTACTTTCCATCGGTTGTTTCTATCTGTCTGTCTTCCTTTTTACAGCACTGAATGGCCTATAGTATGTCGATGCGCTTCTCTTTACTCAAACAAACAAAAACAAGGGGCTGACATGATGTACAAGGCAGGCCCATTGTGTTCGCCTCATTTTCAAAAGATTCCTGGATCAAAACCTACCAGTGATGACAAATAAAAACTAGATCTAGATATATCTAGATCTATCTAAAAATGTTTCTATTTTTACCCCTTGCTGCTATCTGCAGTCCAGTTCTGCCATTTACTTTCCTCTTCACATCTCATCTCCCGCTCCAGTACCCCTTCATCTGACTCATCAGGTGATCCAACATTGCAGTGTGTATTTTACGGAATTCGCAACATTCCCCGTGATCGAGGTCTCCCCGCTTTCCTTGATACCGGTGAAAAGCTAATCAATATCAATTGAGAGAATAATAATGTTTAAATTACCAGTGGTAAAACCACTAATAGTTTATCGCACAGTAATGCATAAAAAATTAAATAGTTTTAAACAGGACAGAAACAGTGAACGAGTATGATATTCAATATGTGACCTGTTGTGGGAGCGATATTTATATATGAGCCTCCCCAGCGGTGTCAGTTTCAATACTATCACAGAACCAGCGTGTATCATAATAATGATAATAAATACGGCACCGCCGCAGCCATTTCAAATCGTTAACGTATACTATTTGTCTGACGTTGATCGATGAACATAATAAGTCAGTATTGTCCGACAACAGTATACAACGATAAGGTTCACCGTGTGTTCGTCCGAGATTAATTCTGAGACGAACGGACGTTCATTATTATGCTAAGCTTTCGCAACGGCCCAGTGCAGCCTAGTCCACAGTCCACACTGAAACTGCTCCATCGCTTTGTTTAATATACATTGATGTACAGTTATAGTTCTAGACAAGGCAGAAGTAGTTGATGAGTTCAATGTTAAGAGGAGATA